AGTGGTCCGCTGAACTGGCGAAAGCACACTCTTCTTGGCGTTGAGTCTCAACCCCAACCTTCTGATGTGGGCGAGGACGGCATCTCGATGCCGAATCGCCTGATGCTCCGATTGAGCCAGAATCAACCAATCGTCGATGTAATTTAGAATGCGAATGCCCTGGAGACGCAGCGGAGCCAAGGCCGCGTCCATGCATTTCGTGAAGGTTCGAGGAGATAACGCTAGGCCGAATGGAAGGACCCGATATTGGTACGCTTCGCCCCCAAAAGCGAACCTCAGGAACTTCCGATGTTGCGGAAGGATGGAGATATGGAAGTACGCGTCTTTTAGGTCTATCGTGACAAACCAGTCCTCGGACCTGATCTGTGACACGATCTGCTTGAGAGTTAGCATTTTGAACTTGAGCTTCCCTACTGACCGATTTAAGAGGCGCAGATCTAAAATCGGACGCAGCCCCCCATCCTTCTTTGGAACAATGAAGTATCGGCTGTAATACCCCAGCTCTCTGTCGGGAGGAAGAACTCGTTCTATCGCCCCCTTCAGTAACAGAGCTTTCACCTCTTGTTCCATAACCAGAGCCTGCTCGGGGGTCACCACTGTGGGCAAAACCCCCCGAAAACGAGGTGGATGCGACCTGAACTGGATCGCGTACCCCCGTTCGATAGTCTGCAGGACCCAACGAGATATATTTGGAAGACTTCCCCATTCTACCAGAAATTCTACTAAGGGTACCAGTTTCTCGAGACTGGCATCTGGAGTCGTTTTTAAAACAGAAACAGCGCCCTGTGACCGCGCACAGGCAGGGTCTAACGACCGTTCTGTATCGCTCCTCGAAGCAAACGTCCCTTGGGAAATCGCTCGCTGGGACCGTCTGCGCCCCCCATTACAGGCAGGGTTGGCAGAACGGACCCCTGAGGGCACCGAGAGAGAGCGGGCGCCGGATTCAGCGGCGAACACCTCTGTCTCATGGTGGGGACCACCCTCAGTAGCCTGACACCAGTGGCGTCAGGACTTCTTCGACGAGGCCTTCCTGGCGACAATAACCGTCCTCAGATCGGTTCTGTCCCGGGAAGACCTCGCCTGAGAATGCCGCGTCTCGGCCCAGTTTTGCTGGGGAGGAGCCCTAGACGCGACGCTCTTCTTCTGCTGCGCCCTATGCGTAGAACCCGACGGGCGGGGCTGCTGGGCGAGAGCAGGATGGATGAGTACGGAGGGGGAGACATTTCTGGAGCGCCGCTGCCTGCTTTCTTCCTTCTTGGAATCTTTCGATTACTGCGTTCACAGAACCACCAAACAGACCTTCGGTCGACAGCGGCGCATCCAGGAGAAAAGCTTTATCTCTCTCCTTCATATTGGACAAATTTAGCCACAAATGCCTCTCCGTGGCCACCAGGGCTGCCATAGACCGCCTGACGCAGCTCTTTAATCACGTCAGTGCTGACGACCTCCCCCTCGCTCATATCCTTCAGCAGATCTGCTTGATACGCCTGGAGAATGGCCATCGTATGTAAGCAAGATGCTGCCTGTCCCGCCGCTGAATAAGCTTTGCCCACCAAAACCGAAGTATTCCTGAGAGGCTTGGTGGGCAACGCCGGTGTTTTAAAAGACGATGCCGTCTCAGGAGAAAGATGGCTCGCCAAAACTTCCTCCATCCTCGGCATCGCCCCATAACCCTGCCTCCTAGACCCAGCAATATTAGAATAAGTCGTGGTCTGGTGTGTCAAAATTCTAGCTGACACTGGTTTGTTCCACGATCTACACACCTCGGTGTGTAGATCGGGAAAGAAGGGCAAACACCGGCGCGGAGGTAGTGAGTGTGACGCTAAATATCTCTCATCCATTTTACTTTTCACCCTCGACTCTTGTTTCTCAACTGGCCATTCAATGCTTAATTTATCTACAGCCCGAGTCAAAACCTCCATAAGCTCTACATTCGCGGGAGACTGGGATGGCGAGTCCCCGATCTCCACTGAGTCCATCGACTCTGCATCCACACTTTCAACATCCAGCTCCTCAGAACTGGATAATTGAAGCGATGGCGCCTCAGCCCGGGCAGGAGAAACCGCAACGCGGACCCCCGCAGCGAGATCTGAGGCACTGGATCTACCAGGTAAGGGCAGAGAAAGGGCGGAGCCCGTCTCCATCCCCGCTGATAGATCCATCTGCGATCCCCACGACGCAAGCCTTCGCTGTGCCTCGGCAGCAGCGGGACCCGAGCCGCGGGGAGCGCGCACCGAACCACTCTCCTCGAAGAGTGCTCGGCGGGAGCGGAGTGTCTTCATGGGCAGACACTCGCAATGCTCACAGCCAGCCCCCTCGAGAGCCGACTGAGCATGCTGCACTCCCAAACAAGCAACACACAGATCGTGTTTATCCCCACCCGTGATGAAGCGAGGGCAGGGATGAACACACTTTCTGAAATGCTGTTGTTTGCTCGCCATTTTCACTTATATATATATATACAATATTTTCAGACAGACAAATTCATACATAGAGCGCTTGTGAAGACTCAGAAGCTGTTGCGCTTGTGTTTCGGGGATGCTTTATAGTTTCCTGGTCGATACGTCACCCCGCCTATGACGTTCCGTCTCGCGATTGGACAGATTTCATACGTGCTTCATGACTCGTCACGCAGAGGCGTTCCCACGGCGTTTACACGCAGCTCGAAGTTCCCTGAATGGGAACATCTATTAAACAAAAATAGTGATGCAGTTAAGTGTTTTTTTCGCTCAGCCAAGCCCTCTCTGTTGCTGTGTGGAGCAGCCTGTGTCAGTCACCTCTTCCTGAACGTCACTCACTCAACTCGCACACTGTGGTCTCGTGAGGAACGCAGCTTTTTGATATAAAGTATTTCTTGTTCCCGAATACAAATATTTTTTTAAGTATTTGTTCGGAATAAGTATTCGTAAAAAACACATTATTTGTACCTTTCCGAATACCGTATTCGGATTCGGCTCCGCCCCTACTAATCATATTTCAGCTTTCAGAGTTCAGCTCATGAAAAGTGGGGGCAAAAACAAGCTTAGAATTTTTTCAGTGTATTAAGAAGAACAGCTGTTTTTAACTTTGATAATAACAATGGTAATGAATATTTTCACCAAACCAGCATATTAGAATAATTTATTGAGGATAATGTGACTCTGAAGACTGAAATAATGGGAACTGAAAATTCAACTTTGCATCACAGAAATTAACTAGATGGTAAAATTCGACAAACTTTAAGTTGGCTTGGAAAAGCCTAGCCAGAAAGTTTGAAAAAGTTTTAAACTGTTCTGTTTGTCACAACCACGCCTGGCCCCACCCTCACACAATCACAGCACACTCCCTCTCCCGAGTACTGATCACTCACAGACTCATCACACCTCCACATCATCATTACTGCAATCAACTCCTGCTTATAAACCTCTCTCTCACTCTCATTCTTTGTCCGTTATCGTTTGCATCAAGACGCTAACGCTGTGCTTAACCCCTGGACTTCAATATCTGCTATCCAGTTTCCATGTAATTTCTCCGTGTGATTTCTCTGTGTGATTTCTCCGTGCCAACAACTCTGATCCGAAACACCAGTTCATAAGGGATTATCACGCTTCTGGGTTTCATGGGCTGGATTTGTCAACTTTGTGCATGTCCACTTCCGACGCAGTTCAACAATGGCTGAGACGAAGGCTATATATATATATATCACTGCCCTGTTCCACTTTGTAAATCTAACCAACAACGCCAACCCTACTTAAGTTTTCATGGATTCCCGACTGAATTGAGTATAAGGAAGAAGTGGATTAAACCTTTAAAATAAAACAAGGTAGCACGTGTATTTGCAGCCGGCACTTTAGTGAATCAGACTAATTTACCAGGGATGACGTATAAATAAACTTAGTGTAGTCTGTCATCAGTTCGCCAGTGAGATCGTTAATTCAACGGAAGTGGCAGTGCACAAAGATCACTGAATCCGGAAGTACTACGTATCAGCGTGATAATCCCCTATTCTCCTGAGTCTTCGCAAACTCCAGTTTGTCTTCATCCTCCCCAACTGCAAGTATTTGAAGTGTGTTATCTGAGGTTGATCATCTGGAACTTTCTCACCCACATTCCTTCACCTGCACTGCCAAACTTTCACCTGGTTGTTCAATAAACATTATATCACTTGCATCCTTGAGTCAGTCCCTTCTGTCTTGTAACACTGTTCTTTTAAAAAAAAGAAAGAAAAGTAAAAAGAAAGAATAGTTGAAAGAAAGAAATGTTAGGAAAAAATAAAGAATAGTAAGAAAGATAGAATAGTTAGAAAGAAAGGAAATAAAGAAATATAGATTCGTTTGAAAAAAGAAAAGTTAAAAAGAAAAGTAAAAGAAAGAAATGTTAGGAAAAAGAAAGAAAGAAATATTAGGAAAAAAGAAAGGATAGTTAGAAAGAAAGAGAATAGTTAGAAAGAAATAAAGAAAGAAAGAAAGAAAGAAAGAAAGAAAGAAAAGTTAAAAAGAAAGAAAGAAAGTTAAAAAGAAAGAAAGAAAGAGAAAGAAAAGTTAAATAGAAAGAAAGAAATGTTAGGAAAAAAGAAGAATAGTTAAAAAGAAAGATGTAATAGAAAGAAAGAAAAAATGTTAGAAACAATAGTTAGAAAGAAAGATGGAATAGGTAGAAAGAAAGAAAGAAAGAATAGTTAGAAAGAAAGATGGAATAATTGAATGTAATAATAAAATTATGAATTACATTACTAAAATGGAAACAGTTGTTTTAAACAAATGTAACTGTGGAGGGGTTACATAACCATATTACTGTTTTAAATTTTTTTTTGATCAAATAAATACAGCTTTTGGGAGCTTCTTTTAAAAAAAACACACACACACACACACACATATATATATATATATATATATATATATAAAACCTCAGGGGGGGCATTGTGCATATAATTAGTGCGTTTCCCCATGCAGTTCATTGTCCAAATTATAAATTGTAATTTCTCTGCCATCTGCTTCTTTTTTGTCTGTCTCCACCCTCAGGCTGTGTGGGTTTGAACCATTTTTCGATCCAAGGGGGGACCAATACATGTACAGTCGCATTCTGAATTGTGATTATGAGTTTGTCTCCCCCTGGTGGGATGAAGTCTCTCTCAATGCAAAGGATCTGGTGAGTAACGCATACTAACATATCATTATTGTCATGTTTGTAACGCTGATGATTTTCATGCACTGCAGATAGGAGAGAAGAGTGTCAAAATATCAAAGGCAGACTCAGATGCTAATTTTCTCTTAATAATTTTCTCTAATAAGCTCTTTTGTGAATTCATTATTAGCTGTTGGTTATCTTTTTTATGTTGTCTGTAGGTAAGTAAGCTCATTGTGCTGGACCCTCATAAACGTCTCACAGTGAAACAAGCTCTGGAACACCCATGGGTGCTTGGAAAAGCAGCACGATTCTCCCACATGGACACAACACAAAGAAAACTACAGGAATTTAATGCTCGGCGAAAATTAAAGGTTAGTCATCACTGCCCTGCTATGTTTTAGTGTTCAATGAAAAAGAAAGAAAAAAAATCTTTTAAAAATATAGTCTACACATGTGCAGAGGAAATAGTCCATATCGAAAATTCAGTGCACAAAGCTGGATTTTCATACTGTTGAAGCGCTGCTACAATTTACGTGTCTCTGCGGAGAGGTCAGGGAAAAAGGCAACTCCTTGATTCTCATAGCGTACCCCCTACCTATAGCGTATCTTCATGGCGGTTCTCAGGGTTGCTTCCCAATCCCGGTAATTCAGAAACTTAATTATTTACACCCGTGGTGATATAGATTTAGGGTTAGTAGGCCCGATCCTGTGTGCTCTCTCTATGATGGGGGGGCGTGGGGAAACTTTCATCTAGTGTATCCCGGAGCCACTTCTCCAGAAAACCACACAGATCTGAGCCCTCTGATTTTTTGGGTAGCCCAACCAGTCTCATGTTGGAGCGTCTGCTCCTGTCTTCTTGCTCTGTAATTCTGTTACAAAGAGTCTCGTCAGTTTTCTCCAGTATTTTAGCTTTGCTTTGAAGAGAAGTTACATCATCTTCTGTTTGCGAGATTCGCTCCTCCATCTCTTTGAGAGTGTAACTGTATATCCCCTTTTATATCGTTAATTGCTTTCAGCATGTTGGTAGATTATTTAGCCATGTCACATTTCAATGACAGTGAATGACACTGAATTTCAATGACAGTGACAATTTCTCTGAGAAGGTCACTGTTTGTCGGAATCTGCGCCACGGCGTCTCCGGTGTTTTTCGGGTGCCTCTGGAGTCTCCGATGCCTCCCATATATTGGCTTTATTGGAAATAGCCAGCTGTGTTTTGCTAGCATTAGCCACGTCAACATTAGCCCCTTTGCCTTGCCGTTTTACCCAGTTGTTGGCCAGTTTTAGCGTTTTTTGGTGGCATATTGTCCAGTAGAAGCGTGTGGGTCAAGAACAAGTAGACTTATGTTTCAAGGTATATAGTTTCAAGGGATGTAACAGCAAGCCACACGCACATGCAGCCTCTCACTAAGACTGCAAAACCGGAAGCCTTAATATTATCTTCTAATATTTAAAATTGGAAATACATTTTTAACAATCATCAACAAATTAAAAAGCATGACTTATAAAATCAGTTGAATGAATGTAACTGAAAATATGAATTAATTCAAATAAATTTACATTCTTTATTGTCGCTACAGCATATACACAAGTATCAAAGTGAAAGTCTTGGATGCAGTTATGTTGTGAAAGGAAAGACCAGAATCATTACCTGCATACAATACATGTAGCATACAGTATTGTCATGATATACACAGGGTTGGGGAGTAACGGAATACATGTAACGACGTTATGTAATCAGGATACAAAAATCCAGTAACTGTAATTCATTACACTTACATCAAAAAACATAGTAATCAGATTATAGTTACTTTTTGAAAAAAGGGGGGATACTTTCAGGATTACAAAGGTTTAATTTAAAATGAAGTAAATCTGTATTTTGGCATGTCACATGTGCCACCCGATGGTGACTGCGTAAAATAACAGCTCTCAACAACAATCTCCTCAGACATCAATTGAATCACTGCTGCTAGAAACGATGCTGCCCACAGGTAAAGTAAAAATGCTTTGATTTCTTGGAAATTCCACTGCTATTTTATTTTTAAAGAGGAAAATGCCAACAACATGGTTTTACAGTGCAAACTGTGCCTTGGCTTGTTGTTAGCTATTATGTAGCGTTTATTACTGCTTTAAAATTCAATGTATGATCGCAGTTGTTTTCTAGAGATGCTGGAATCTGTAGAAATTAAGAGAGTAGCTTTTTTAGTACCTAAAATGTCCTTTCATAATCTCTTCGTTCTCAGTCTCACTTAAGGAGATGTTCACTGCTAACGTAAGGGAACTCCCACTGCCAACGGCCCAAGTTCAGTCATGCAAATTAAGAAACAGCAGTTTATTTCCTATTTTAATATAAACTAATATGTAGATTGTGTAAAATTTTTAAATGTTGTGTTTTTATTATTTCCTTGTAGCCTAAATAATACATAATAATCTGTAAAACCATTACTGTAGACACTAGATGTCTCTATAGCCCTTTAAATAAATTTAGTTCAGGGATGTGAAATTCTTAATAAGTAAATTTTTTTTTTTAATAATATCTGTCCTTGAAGTAATCCAAAAGTAATCAGTTACATTACTTTCATATTCTGGTACTTGGATTACGTTACTGAATACTTTTTTTATGAAGTAATTTGTAACTGTATCGGAATACATTTTTAAAGTAACCCTCCCAAGCCTGGATATACATTACTATAAAAATGCACAAGAACAAATGAAGAGTTCAGATGCAAAAGCCTCTAAATGCCACTTGAAATTTTCTTCTTTAATGATGATTTTTTTTATCAAACTTGTATATTTAAGTTCAGTAATTTCACTTAAATAACATTTAATAGGTAATTATCATTGCCATTTAAGTGAAATCACTGAAGTTAAATATACAAGCTTGATAAAAATGATCATTCTAGAAGAAAATTTCAAATGGCACTTAGAGGCTTTTGCATCTGAACTCTTCAAATATAGAATACATATTTAAAATTCATATACATTTAAAATGATGTAATGATCATTTGAGTAGTTCCTGTTACAGTAAAAGTAACAAAACAGTGGGTGCTTCTCATTTCTTATTTGTGCATCCTTGTTTCCTTTCCTCGCTTCCTCTCATCTCAGCTCCACCCCCTGCAGGACACGAATGAAGGAAGCGAGGAAAGGAAACGAGGTTGGAGGAATCGAATAAAAGCTTTTTTATATACATTGGAATACTTGATCACTCGAGTGTCACTCCACAGTGTCATCAGTAGCGCTAAAAGGATCGGCCCTTATGTTGTTGAAGTTTGGTTATTTAATAAATTCATAATAAATAACAATAAAGATAGGCTACACTGTTGAAATATGTGAGATGTGTGGTTTATATAAACTGAAAAGGCAAAGTATGAATTAAAATGATTGTGACCGATGTGAAGGGGGAGGAGAATTGATACATGCGTCACTTTTAGTCAGTATAACAATTCCGCATAGGATGCACCTGTGTATCCTCGCTTATGACTCCTCAGAAAGCCTCCTCACTCCTCGATCCTCGACTCCTCACGGTGCAATTAGAGAATTGAGATGTCCTTCAAGATGGCTGAGCTCGATCGGTTTCCGGGTCATAGGATGGAGGACGGAGGAGCTAGGAGACCAGGAGGGATATTGGGAAGCACCCAGTGACTGGGTGGGTACAAGGATAGTCCACCCAATTGTTTTTTTAATTCTCTCATCATTTACTCACCTTCATTCCATCCCAGAACAGATGTATATGACTTTCTTTCTTTACACTAAAAATCTTGATTTGTGTTTATTTGTAAAAAAAAAAAAAAAAAAAGTAAAATGCATCTTGGACAGCAGAAGTATATAAAATGTATGAGAATTTTTATTTTTGGGTGAACTATCCCCTTAACATTCATATGCTGTTGGTATGCTAATCCAAGATCAGCATAGACTAATAAGATGAATAAATAAAGTGCAACCTCTTGTGCACTTTAGAAATTAAAATATTTGCATAATATCAGGTGTCTGAAGATCAAGATCCCAGTCATTCAAAGGGGATGTGTCTGAACAAAGCAAGATTATTGTCTGGTGGGATCAGTGGATTGACAGTGGATCTCTAGTACTACCACTTTATCATCTGTGACAGCATCAGAATGTTGTTTATGGAAAAGTTTCTCCACTCCCTGGATAACGATAAAGGAAATGTATTATAATTCAATAACAATTCTGCTTTGAACTCCAATATAGCAAATGGCAGACTTAAAGGAGAACTTCGGCGCAAAATGAACCTTTGGTCTAATAAAACATTGGTACCTAGTCGACCGTTCTCTGGGATTTGTTTTCATGGTAATCGAATGTAAAGAGTTTTATCTCTAAAAACTGTTTAGCTTATAACACCAGTATATAGGGCATAGGGTAAGCAAAAAGAAATTGCTAGTTAATGCAACTATCAAGGCTCAAAATAGCCCGACATTAACATAATGAGGGTCCACACATGCAAAACGAAGCATTGAGAACTTTGTAAGTGTACAGATCGTTTAATAAGAAGATATTTTAGTAACACTTTACAGGTTCATTAGTTAACTACATTAGTTAACATTAACTAAGAATGAACAATACTTCTACAGCATTTGTTAATCTTTGTTAATGTTAATTTCAACATTTACTAATACTTTATGTTACTAATACTGAGGCCATGGTCCTCAGTCGAAAAAGGGTTGCTTGCTCACTTCAGGTTGGTGGAGAAATCCTTCCTTAAGTGGAGGAGTTTAAGTATCTTGGGGTTTTGTTCACGAGTGAGGGAAGGATGGAACGGGAGATTGACAGATCGGTGCAGCTTCTGCAGCAATGCGGTCGATGTACCGGTCTGTTGTGGTAAAGAAGGAGCTGAGCCGTAAGGCAAAGCTCTCGACTTACCGTTCAATAATTCACGTTCAATCAATCCGGGGCCGGGTTGCGGGGGCAGCAGTCTAAGCAGAGATGCCCAGACTTCCCTCTCCCTAGACACTTCCTCCAACTCTTCTGGAGCACCGAGGCGTTCCCAGGCAAGCCGGGAGACATAGTCTCTCCAGCGTGTCCTAGGTTTTCCCCGTGGCCTCCGCCCAGTGGGACATGGAGGCATCTGGAACAGATGCCCGAGCCACCTCAGCTGACCCCTCTTGATGTGGAGGAGCAATGGCTCTACTCTGAGCTCCTCCCGAGTGGCCGAGCTTCTCACCCTTTCTCTAAGGGATCGCCCAGCCACCCTGCGGAGAAAGCTCATTTCGGCCGCCTGTATTCGGGATCTTGTCTTTTCGGTCATGACCCAAAGCTCATGACCATAGGTGAGAGTAGGAACGTAGATTGACCGGTAAATTGAGAGCTTTGCCTTACTCCTTCTTTACCACAGCAGAACGGTACATTGACCGGATTGCTGCAGAAGCTGCACCGATCCGTCTGTCAATCTCCCGTTCCATCCTTCCCTCACTCGTGAACAAAACCCCAAGATACTTAAACTCCTCCAGTTGAGGAAGGATTTCTCCACCAACATGAAGTGAGCAAGCCACCCTTTTCCGACTGAGGACCATGGCCATGATTTGGAGGTGCTGATCTTCATCCCAGCCGCTTCACACTCGGCTGCAAACCATCCCAGTGCATGCTGAAGGTCCTGGTGTGAAGGGGCCAACATGACAACATCATCCGCAAAGAGCAGAGACGAAATCGTGTGGTTCCCAAACCTGACACCCTCCGGCCCCTGGCTGCGCCTAGAAATTCTGTCCATAAAAATTATGAACAGAACCGGCGACAAAGGGCAGCCCTGCCGGAGTCTAACATGCACCGGGAAGAAATCTGACTTACTACCGGCAATGCGAACCAAGCTCCTGCTTCGGTCATACAGGGACCGGACAGCCCTTAGCAAAGGACCCTGAAAAAAAGTTGGCCTGCCCCTCCTTGAACTGCCACCTTAACATGGTGGAGGGGTTTGAGTACCTGAATGACCCTAGGAGCTATGTTGTCTGGGGCTATATGCCCCTGGTAGGGTCTCTCAAGGCAAACAGGTCCTAGGCGACGGGTCAGACTAAGAGCAGTTCAAAAACCCCTTCAAGGACCGGGGCCCCACCCTGGAGCCAAGCCCGGGGTTGGGGCTCGTATGCGAGCGCCTGGTGGCCGGGCCTCTCCCCACGGGGTCCGGCCGGGCTCAGCCCGAAGGAGTGACGTGGGACCATCTTCCTGTGGGCTCACCACCTGCAGGAGGAGCCAAAGGGGCCGGTGCAGAGAGGATCGGGCGGCAGTTGAAGGCAGGGGCCTCGGCAACCCGATCCCTGGACACGGAAACTAGCTTTAGGGATGTGGAACGTCACCTCGCTGTCAGGGAAGGAGCCCGAGATTGTGCGTGAGGTTGAGAGGTTCCGACTAGGGATAGTCGGGATCACCTCTACGCATGGCTTGGGCTCTGGAACCACACTCCTTGAGAGAGGATGGACTCTACACCACTCTGGAGTTGCCCATGGTGAGAGGCGGTGGGCTGGTGTGGGTTTGCTTATAGCCCCCCAGCTCAGCCGCCATGTGTTGGAGTTTACCCCGGTGAACGAGAGGGTCGTTTCCCTGCACCTACGGGTCGGGGATGGGTCTCTCACTGTCGTATGTGCCTACGGGCCAAACGGCAGTGCAGAGTACCCAGCATTCTTGGGCTCTCTGGGAGGAGTGCTGGAAATTGGTCCGACTGGGGACTCCGTTGTTCTGCCGGTGGACTTCAACGCTCACGTGGGCAACAACAGTGACACCTGGAGGGGCGTGATTGGGAGGAATGGCACCCCCGGACTGAACCCGAGTGGTGTTCAGTTATTGGACTTCTGTGCTAGTTACAGTTTGTCCATAACGAACACCATGTTCAAGCATAAGGGTGTCCACCAGTGCAAGTGGCACCAGGACACCCTAGGTCGTAGATCGATGATTGACTTTGTGGTCGTTTCATCTGACCTGCTGCCGTATGTCTTGGACTCTCGGGTGAAGAGAGGGTGTGGAGCGATGGTGAAGAGTGGTGAAGTGGTGAAGAGTGGTGAAGAGCTGTCAACTCCAGAGTGGTGAAGAGCTGTCAACTGATCACCACCTGGTGGTGAGTTGGATCCGATGGCGGGGGAGGAGGCTTAAAGGGCACCTATTATGGAAAATTCACTTTTACATGGTGTTTGAACATAAATGTGTGTTGGCAGTGTGTGAGCAAAACCACCCTAGAATGATAAAAATCCACTCAGTGTTTTTTTTTTTCAATCTCAATAAATCATGTGCACTGTCTCAGAACGAGCTGTTCTGAGATCCAGCTCTTTGTGATGTAGAAAGTGAGAAAGGGGTTTGATTGACAGTGTGGTTGTGGCATAGACCCCGCCCTCGGTGATCTGTACACACCATCCTCCATTGTTTCAACGACAGCCGGTAATGTCTCTTGGAATCATAAGTGTTCTGTCGAGGACTCGTGGGTTAATCCTGTTGTTGTGGCTTAAAAATTAATCCTCAAGTGTGGATTGTCGTCTACTGTTTGCGATCCAACGTCACCTCTAGTAAGTGTATTTTATGATTTTTGAGCAAATAGTCATTTCAGTCTGTCAGCCAATTCAACAACAAATTATGCGTCTAAAGTTGTTGTCGTCGTAGGATGTCTGTAATTTAAACATTGTTTGTATAGTGTGTAACCACACGTTTATATATATATTTAAAGATATTGTATTAAAAACTGCATATATGTTGTTGTTCTTTAAAGGGTTAGTTCGCCCATTTAAGACATGAAGTTGTATGCAATCCTTACCAGCACTATAGTGCATACACACTGACCCACTCTGTTGTGACCCCCCTGGTCAGAGATCTGACGGCTGGAAGTTTTTCAATGAAGTACTCCCGGCTATTTTCCGGGGCCACAAAACTGTGCGTTTTTACGTGAAAAAATGATTTGCGTTTCAAAGCTTGATTAATTTACCACACAAAAAAGACGCCGGGCAAAATTCATACCTCAGTTTTAATGCGGCACTATTTTCTATCCATTTCAAACAAGGCCGATCCTTTTTTGGACAATGCACATGAAAGTGCGTGAAAGTATATCCACTAGGGGTGTAACGGTACACAAAAATCACGGTTCGGTACGTACCTCGGTTTTAAAGTCACGCTTCGGTACGTTTTCAATACAGCAAAAAGAAAGAAATGCCAGAGAAATTTCCTATTTGCTTAAAGAAAAAATATTTTTAAATAAGTGTGAGTTTTCCTATGGATTTCATATTATTGTGCACGTGTATTTCATATATTTTGAACATTCAATTGTATACATGTACATGCAAGTAATTTATAGGTGTATATGTACGTGTTATGCATGTATTGAAAAGCGAAGTTTGATTTAAATCCTACGTGACGCCTCACAGAAAACTATGTATTATATATTTTGATTACTTTATACAATATAATATTATTCAGTGCTTTAAGTTTTTCAATTAGGTCGATTTCATATGTGCCTTTGTTCTATGACTCTTGTCATCAGTAAGCTTGAGATTCTTTTCTTAAGCTACTATTATTTTTTGTGATATTGAAATTGGTCACAAGAATTATGAAATTTCAGTGCCATTACATTTTGATATGATAAAAAAAATCATGTTATAAGTGGCCCCGGGGCCAAAAGAAATTTTCTACTTTATAAAAAAAAAAAAAAAAAAAAGAACAAAGCCTCTGCTTTAAAACAACAACAACAGCAAAAAAAAAACTTCATGCATTATTTTTTTATCAACACTTGACTGTGGCTAAGCTTCATAAAAATGCAATATTTTAAACAAAAAGCTGAGGGAGAAAAAGTCAGATAATTCCGTCAATGGAGGGGGCAGAGTTAAGTTAAATGTTGCTCCATGAAGGATATTGTGTTATTGGTAGAGAATATTATTTCTGTGATTTAGCAGAATCAAAAGCATTTTACTGAAACAGTGAACATAATCATGAGATACTAGTCTAGTCAAGTCACATTTATTTACATTGCCTTTACAATACAAATTGTTTCAAAGGAGGTTTACAGATTTAACAGGAAAATAATGCAACAAAGTTTGTTTCCAGAAGAAAATAGCGTCACAGTCCAGTCCAGTAAGTTCAGTCATGTTTAATTTTTGTTGTAAAAAAGTTATCAATTTAGTTGAAATTTAATTTAGGAGAAAACCGTAATGTAATCGTCCAGCTCAGTTCAGTTCTCATGTAATGGTGTCAATGCAGGCAGATCAATAATTATTTTTGAATATTAAATTTAATGTTACATTTTCTATAGGCTGCTATGAAAGCGGTGGTTGCCACAAGCCGCATGCACGAGGGCTCACGGCGGCGGACGGACAGCTGCGAGATGCCCAACACAGAAAATACCTCGTGCCAGAACAGCATACAGAAGGAAAACACGTTGGATTCTCAAAGGGAGCCCATTCCCATTAAAGAGGGATTCAAGCAGGTTGAGGATGGAGCTCAGAGTCTCTCAAGTACCCCACTCCACCCTACCCATAAAACTAAATCTTCTGCCCTGTCTGGGCCCTTGCCCACTCGCCCACCCCTGATAGCAGACGGACACAGGCAGACCTCTGTTATACCGAAGGCTCCAGTGGTGCGGCCCAGGATGCCCAAGAAGAGCTGCTCAGTGGATCCTGGAGGCAAATATGAGCCTTTGCCAGTAAGCACCAACCCACCCAGTCCCAAGGACCTCAGTAATGGTTTCTCCATGAGTGTTGAGACAGGTGGCAATACGGCAGAATGTCCGTAGTAATGATATAAATGTTAGGATTCTTACAGAAGACGGAGGGCCTTGTGCAAGGAAGAGCGCAGGAGAGATGATGCTTTACAAATACACTGAGAATTTCTTCTTCCCCTCCTCCATTTTTTGCTATGATATATTTTGATACAGGACTGACCTTGGATGAGCTATCTGTTTCTTAAAGCTCTTTATAGAGGCATGTGGCTTTCATGACAACTTCAGGTTAGCGGCACAGTGGACATTGTTTTTTTTTTCTCTCTCTCTTTCCACAAGCATTGTAAATAAGATTGTCTCTTATCTCTAATGGTAGTGAGGATCATGTATCTGTGATGTTGTGATATTTGTTTAGGAATGACTGATGTGTGAAATGGCTAACCCCAGTATATGTCTTTTGCCCCATTTTAATTCACAGATTTTGTGTTAGCAAACTGCAAAAAAGCTTGAAATGATTTCTAAAAGCTCAGACTAAAGGAAGGATATGACATCATGCCACAATCAAGAATAATGTTTTCCCTCTTCTTTGGCAGTTTATCTTCCATCAAATCTAATTGATGTTATTCAGGGTTACCAAACTGATCTCAAATTCCCTACTTTTCTAGTCATGACGAAATACAACATCACGCTTCAGATTCTGGGAAAGTTTTAGGGAAAAACACACCTAAACTGCCACTGTACTATAAATCTTCTCTATGAGGTGGAATTAACACAACTATGCTTCATCCAGGCTGCACCTCTTCTAATGTACATAATGTACACTTCTAATGTACAATGTACACTTCCGGCTTTTCAAATAGTACATTCTTTATTATTCTACTCTTAGCATGGAAGTTAAATGTATCTGCTTCTATGAACATGTAACAGCATCACAAAATATTTCAGTAAATAATAGCTGCTTGTCATTCTATTTATTTTTTATTTATTTTGATCTTTGCCAAAAAAAGAAAGAATGCCTTGTACATGCTGACATAAACAGTAGCCAGATTAGATCACTGGAACATTAAGGCTATGTATGAATAGTAATACTTTGCAGTTAAGATTAATCAGTTAATAATGTGTTTTCAGTTGTAAGACAGTGTAGATGCTTTTTATCTATGCTTTTTATATTTGAGCAGGAGTTTCCATGTTTCCAAGATTAATAAATTGAACTGAGTTTATGCTTTTTTTGGTATAGCTCATTTATGCTGACCTTCAGTACACATTGACCAATTGTTGAAGCAGCAGTTTATTCTATCAGTTGTCTACTTTAATAAGGAGTCTAAGAAAGAGTATTTATTGTCCTCCATATTTTATAGTAATATTAGTAATAATATTATTATAGTATAATAATTTTGTCCCTAATTGTAAGAGAGAAATGTAAAGTCCTTAAAACTGTTGTTACTTCTGAATGTATTTTCTTTTTTAAAATATTAATGTATGTCAGATTCTGATTGTTAAATTGATTACAACAAACGAGCAACAGTTACAACACACACACACACACACACACACACACACACACACACACACACACACACACACACACACACACACAAACAACAAAAAAATAATAATACATAGCCAAAGTAAATAAGTACTTAAATTAAATCATTAAAAGTACTTCAATTACAGTTACATCAGTACAGTATCTGAAATGTATTACAGTGTTATGATTTTTTGCATGATTTTAATTGTTTAACAGGGTCGATGTAAGGAGGGTGGGATACAGATAGACAGATGTGTTTAAAACATATCATGCTAAAATAATTTATAAAACCAATGCTTTGATAAATATAATAGATATTAAAAAACAACAACAACAACATAGCAATGCTTGAGGTTGTGTGATGTTTTGATGAAGGTGTGTGTGTTTTGAGCTTAGATGGGTGACTCCGCACTCCGCAGCATCTCTTCCTCCCGGCAGGAGGAGTGGCTTCACTTCCGCCTGAATGCGACACATCCGAGCGAACCCCCGTCTTCGGCTGAGATCCGCGCGTGCGAAGTAGGTAGAGCAGATCTCCCCTTTGTTACATAAACATTTTCTGACTCGCTTTGCTACTACGACGGTCGAGGACACCAAGGTATTTTTTGTGCTGAAAATTATAATTAACGTTATGTCATTCCTGTTATATTCTGTGTCCATTATTTGCTTTAAATATGCGGACAGCTCGCTCTCGCAACCGCACATGAGCGGCCGCTTATAGCTTTGATGGTAGCAGGCCTAAAAAGAGTGACCTGAAGCGATAGAAGTACAATTATAACGTGCAACACGAATTTAGGCAATCAAGTAACAAATATATTTGTCGATAATGGTATTATTAGAATGTTGTTACTTATGTATTTATTTGTAACGATTCGTGCTGTCCATGTACCTTAGCTTAGCTTGTTGCCTAGCATACATGCAAATTAGCTTCTCTTCATTGTTTTTGTGTTTGTCGGGGAAATAAGTCGACGAATAGACATTTAATTCGGTATATATAGTTGACCTGAGTGTGTAAGTCAGTAATGTTACAAACATTGCGAAAAAATTGAAATGGTCTGAATATGTGCGGTTTGTTGCAAAACAATCTTCGTCATGGCGCTCTAGTAGATTTTTTTTTTTTTTTTTTTTACTGTGTCTTACTATTTCTCTTTTAGACTAAAATTTTGAAGCTGTAAAGTGTCTTCATGGCCGTCAGAAGAGGACACATAAGGTATTTAAAAGTGAGTATTTATTTATAATATACAGTAAAGGGGCTTTCACACAGGACGCGGTATGCGCTGCGCGGCGCTATGAAACCCATTCATTTCAATGGCTTGCGCCGCGCGAAGACGTTTTGTTGCTGCGTCGACAAAAGCGCAAGCGCACTATTAACTTGCTCGCGCGCAGGCCGCGGTCAAAGTTCAAAATAGTTTAACTTTTGCCGCTGCGTTCTGTGACGATTATCAGCGCGGCCAATAGAAACGGGACATCAAAATGGATGAACAGCTTGCACTGTCGGAATTTCCTGAGCTGTACAATGGGCTATATGCACGCATAAGTTCCGCATTTGACGTAAGGATGCTCGTTCATTTCCGGTTGTGTAGATTAAAGCGGAGGAAAACCGGAGAAAACGGGATTATGGCAGAGTCTTCAATATTTACTGTCCTCCCGTCTTTGAAACGAAACGTATACGTTTAGATGTAATTTTATATATAGTTATGTTTATTTAATATAATTTTAAAAAGAAGCATAAACACAACGAGGGGTGTCTGTTTTATCTGTTTTTGTGACTAACGTTTTTTTAGTATAACCATGGAGTCTAAAATTCAATATAAATTCTCGGTATTGCATTGGACTCTATGATCGGCGGAAGTTATCGAGCATCCTTAATCCTTCACCGGAAATAACGGCGTGCATAGAGCCCATAATATCTGTCTGCAGAGCAGCAGTTTTACCCCGCGCATGCGCAGTTTCACCCCAGCAGTTTTACCCCGCGCATGCGCAGTTGCACCCCAGCGGTTTTACCCCGCGCATGCGCAGTTTCACTACAACAGTTTTACCCGCGAATTCGCAGTTTCAATATAGCAGTTTTACCCGCGCACATTGTTCAGTATTAAAACGATCTAATGGTTATTGTTACCAATTATTTTTGCTTATTAGTCTGCAGAGCCACAGTTTCACCCCGCACTTGCGCAGTTTCACCTCAACAGTTACCCGTGCATGCCCAATTTCAATATATAGTTTTTGTTACCAATTATTTTTGCTTATTAGTTATTTTTTGCTGTTGCTCGCAGGCCGTCGTGTTCCTTATAAAACAGTGCTTGTATCAGGAACACACTACACTATTCTTTTACATTTTTCCTCCAAAAAAATAAATAGCCTGGCCTATGTACACTTAATTGCTCAATGCCTGGTATAACACACCAACTTCTGATTAGACATTCAAAGGTGAACTATTAGTCTAAATCAATATATGTCTAATTATTCTTAAATTAATTAAATCTGCCAGATGAAACAAATGACTTGAACACAAATTAACAATAATTTCAAATATTTAATTAATTTTGGAGACATTACCAAGAATACACTTATATTTCAATTCAATTGGCTTTATGCACAGCTGCACTACTTCCTGAACTTAAGCCAGCTCTTTTGTTTCCTGTCTTCCATTATTGGACAAATTGATTAGTTCAGGTGTGCCTGAACTCAGTAGTCAAGGCAACAATAATCAGACACACCTGAATTAATCAAGCTTGGCCAATAATGGCAGACAGGAAACAAAGGAGCTGGCTTAAGTTCAGGAAGTAGTGCAGCTGTGCATAAAGCCAATTACCAGAGAGACATACTGATTCAGACAGACAGGCTGGCATACTGATACACAGACAGACATATTGATACACAGCCATACATACTGATAGACAGACATACTGATACAGACAGACAGGCATACTGACATACATACACAGACACACTGATACAGACAGACATATTGAGAGACAGACATACTGATACAGACAGACAAACTAATACACAGACATACTGATACAGACAGACAGGCATACTGATATACATAGACAGACACAATGATACAGACAGACAGACATATTGATACAGACAGACCGTCTAATATACATACTGATACAGACAGATAGACACCAAGTCTGTCACCAATTAGAAAAAAAAAAAAAATTAAATGTCAGGGTTTTAAAATGACGACACTCTAACATTTTTCTTGTCCTTAACCTCAGACATGAAAAAGAGCATGTCCTCTCTGTTTTTAAATGTAAAATAGAATAGGGCTCTTAATTCATCATCCTCATCCAAAGTTGTGGCACAATGTGAATGTAGTGGAGAAAGGGCTTTCTTCCTCCTCCATGCTGTCAATGCGTGGTGGCAAGTACTTGCTCTTCATCAGCGGGTGATTGTCCTTTAACCATTCCACACCTTTCCTGATGCTGCTCATCATATTGGCATTCTTTATGAAAAATATTTGAAAATTAACAGCAATCAACAATTTTATATTTTCAGATAAATAAAACTTGAAGTCTAAATATATTATATACATTGCAGAACTCTACAAAATACCTCAAAATTGTGTGGTGTCGTGTCCCCCTCCAGTGCTCCTATGCCATATTTAATTTCTCCTGGTCCATTCATCTGTTGTAGAAGAGCACAGTGTGATGTAATGTATTTCAATTGTACACAAGACTACAAAATGTTTCATTTAATAAAATGTATAATTTCATGCATATGCAATGCAGAACCAAACTAAGATTTGATTTACTTAGAATTTACACGAGAGAATTCAGCTATTTGAATCAATCCACTTTACAAAAACAAACAAAAATAACAAAGGTCAATGTCCCTGCCCTAATGCAGGTTGTCCATCAGTTAAGACTTTTAAGCCCTTTTTAATACTGCATCATAAAACTACAACATTACATTTAGCAAGAACATACATTTAAAGAAGTACATGCCCGTAATGATCAGACTAGCTCTAGACCATTTGGCTTGGGGCACATGTGTGTTCACAGGGGTCTTTTGGGGTCTTTCAAGGATCAACCCTGCAACAATGGGACTTGGTGTGTGTTTTAAGAACCCAACTGATATCTGTGTTCCCTGAAAGTCTAAGTATAGAATATTGTCGACTGAAAATAGGATGAATAAATAAACTAAATACTTTGACAACAAAAGCTTTGAGCACAAAGTTGTGCAGAATACTGAGTCCTGAGCAAGGACTGTCCCTAAAGTTAGTTTACTAAAAGTCACTCTGGATAATAGTGTCTGCTAAATGACAAATAATAATAACTAAACCCTAGAAACAAAATTCTCCATGAGGAGAAGGCACCACTTCTTGTGTCATCATGAATGTCATGCTGAGAAAAAAAGCAATACTAACATGAATACTATAAACAACAATAATATTAATATAACGTAGACATAAGACTTATAGCAGTGAAATCAACGGGTTCATGAAACATTCATTTTACAATATATTTTTTGATATAACAGACTGGAGACAGACTGATAAAAGTCCAGTAACGTTACTTACCATATAACTTAATCACGAAGACCCCACAGGATGTCATGTCGAGTTGATGGGAGATATGCTGAAATGGCAAATTTCATTTCGAAAAACAAAGAAATCAAACAGGACGTTAGTGTTCCGAAAACAAGACAACAAAATACCATTAAAATACCCTTACCTTGTTTTTTTTTTGTTTTTGTTTTTTTTTTTTTCATTTTGATCCAACGGCCTGGTGCTACTGTCATAGCAAGTTTGCTGCAACATGAATATATGTTAAATAAAAGAATGATTTGTCCTACAGCACTGCTGAACTGAAGACAATAACTTATTCAAAACGCGTGGATAAAACTGCTATAGTGAAACTGCGCATGCGCGGGGTGAAACTGCAGCTCTGCAGTCAGACCCTTCTCGAGCTGTACGATACAATTTTGACATCGTCAGAAAAACTGTGTCATGGAGACATCTCCATTCAAGTTGGCTAGTCAGGTGTGTTTTAATATATGTATAATTTCTTCGTTTGTTATCTGAATAAATGTTTTATTCTAAAAAAACTGAGCTCATGATTCGTGTGTTGATTTCGATGTTATATGTGTACACGCACACACATGTATATCATACGGCATAGCACCGCGCAAATCACGTTGTATCTGAAGGGCAACGCTCAACCCAGCTGCCAGCACAGCGCATACCGCGTCCTGTGTGAAAGCCCCATAACGTTACTGTTTCTTCAAAGATATGTGAGCTATCATATAACAATTCGACACCAATACTATCGATCTATGCATTTTATTACCGCGTCCTGTGTGAAAGCCCCATAACGTTACTGTTTCTTCAAGGATATGTGAGCTATCATATAACAATTCGACACCAATACTATCGATTTATGCATTTTATTATTTATTTGTTTGATTATTGGGACGAATTTTGGTGATGAATAAAAAATTCAGCCGCAAAAAAAAAAAAAAATGATAGCTTGGAGGGCTGACATCATGACCTAAACTGTGATTGTTAAAAGCATCAGAGATGCTTCAATTAAACGTGTCATGCGCGCAACGTGGATAAGCTACCAAAGGTAAAAATGTCGGCTGTGTGAACGCACTTCACCATGACAAAAATAACTTTACTTGGGCTGCTTTAATTTATCACTTTCTTACAGCATGTTTGAACAGCATGTATACCAAGTATAATTACTGAAACGTTATTTTCGATTTTTTTTTTTTTTTTTTTTTTTTTTTTTTTTTTTTTTTTTTTTTTTAAAGGAACACTCCGACTTTTTGGGACTTTAGCCTATTCACCTTACCCCCCAGAGTTAGATAAGTCCATACATACCTTTTTCATCTCCGTGCGTGCTATAAGTCTGTTTGACGCACCCACCGCTAGCCTAGCTTAGCACAAAGACTGGATGTGAATGGTTGCAGCTTTCATACTAATCCAAATGAGTGACAAAATAACGCAAACGTTTTCCTATTTACATGTTGTGGTTTGTATAGTCACAGAGTGTGCAAATATCAAGGCCATATGAGACACAGATATCTTTTGACCGTGTAAATACTATATTTTCTGAAGGGGAAGCACTGCTACTTGGGCAGAGTGATAACGATCACCTGAGACGCACCGTGACGAGGAGCAGAGAGTTCGCTTCGCTCAGCGTTGGAATAAAGAGTCAGCAATTACTAACGTTAGATAGAAAAGCAAAGTTTATCATGGGTGTTT